TTTTCTGCACCATCACTTAGCCTCCGTCAGGAGCAAATTATAAATAAACCGAGAACAAAAAAATAGTTTTTATTTTTTTTTTTTTTTTCCCCCCCCCCCCCCCCCCCCCCCTTCCCTTCATCCATAATGATTCCAGAAGAGCCACTAATAAAACAACTATTGAAACAGAATGTTGTCCTCTTCCGTAGACCAATAATATATAAGCAGATGGGCTAAGTGCGCTTTCCTGTGTGCATAGTAATTTGGTAACTCCAATTGCCATTGCGAGATAGCATTATGAAAGCTTTTCTAAAATCTTCTGCTAGTAGCTTATTGATTTCGCAAAAAATACAATATACTTTTTGTAATTCAATAATACGAATAAAGAAAAAACAACACATAAAAAGTTTTTCTCTTTTTCTCTACAATGCATGTATTTCTGAAACAACTTTCTATGTACACAAAATCTGTTTTACTCGAAAGAAACAATTAAATCATGAAGTAAATGATATAATTATTGATTCATTCTTCATTAACTTCAAATATGATAAGATTAAAAGGAGTTAGAACGTAGGTGTGAGTGTGCTTTGGGCCACTTCTTGTCCGACAACCGGCACGCACACCTACTTACACCTACACTAAATATTTATATAACAACAAATGAGGCTCGTATTTATAAATAATGGCAATATATTAGCTTATCTATGCGTAGATATTAACAAGTATTTCGTTTAGAGGAGAATTTCTAAACCTTTTTTTTTTCATGTCATTACCCCCCAATGGCAACTCCAGTTGCTATTTTATGTCGTACTATCTCTTGTTCAGCTAATTTGTGTGAAAATTTTGAAATGTATTTTATTCAATAGTAGCAACTTTCGTCGATATTTATCGTGTAACACATCATCAAAATAAGTGTTTCTCGTAGGTAAAAAATAAACAATTTAAAGAGAAAAGATCTTTTTTTTTTTTCATAATCTCATAATCGTCTCTTTTGTAAGTCGTATATCTTAGGGACAGAACGAAGGATACAAAAATATGCTTTTTTATTGATCGGTAGCCTATGGAATGCCCTACGCACAGGATGTAAAGAGTATTTTGTTATCACGTGTTCTGTATTTTATATAATGTTTCTAAAAATGGTAATTCCAATTGCCAATGGGAAGGCGAGGGTAAACGTTTAAATACTATTATACTATGATGCCAAAATTAGTAATACTATGTTCCGAAAATCAAAAATACAATCATTCTAAATTTCAACAATACAAAAGTCTGAAATCGCAAAAAAAGAAACATAGTCCAAAAGTTCAAAATTCCATGATCGGAGAAAGTATAATTGGATGATGCAGAAAATTCGTACAAGTATATCGATTTGTCTATCGTCGTCAGTATGAGAGGCAGTTTTTCGTTTCTCGCTATATACTTCAATACTCAATAATATTCAGTTTCAAAATACATTGCAAAGAATGATATTGTCAATATCATATTGACAATAGTTTGAAAAACATATTGCAGACCAACAGACAGATAGACAGAAACAATGATTTAGTTATCGCTCGTGACTTTATCTGTTCAGTCTAGAAACTGAAAAAGATCAAAAGAAAATGCTCCTAATAAACAAGATTTCGACGTTTCAGGACGATTCAAAATCTGAAAATCTTTCTCGTTCATCTCTGTGCACGTGGCAACATATTTAGAACGATTTTAACTATGCATTGTAAAAGAAAATCCGTTCCTTCAAGAACGGTGAGATTTCGAGTACGTTGCACTTTGCTGAAATCCCAGCTCCGACAAGAAAAGAACCATTGTTGAAACGTTCCGTGGATTTTGGCAAGATTTATTTCTTCGCCCGAATAAGTTTTCAGCAAAATAGAACGCACTCGAAATCTTAACAATCCGAAAGGAATGGATTTTTTACAGACTACATCAAAGACATACAGAAATTATGATTAAGATCGAAAACGACAACCTACTTACAATGAATATTCTGACCAACTTCTCAAAAAACTACCCTAATAATGACTGATTGTAGTTTTAAAATCGTCTTTCGAACAGATACACGCACACACACAAAAGGATTTAATTACAGTTTACAAAATCATATTCTTTCAATTTAGAGACCAACAGTGCTCTTATCCCAACGACAGATGTGCAATATGTAGCAATGTGTATGTGCAATGATGATATATGAATTTATTTTCTTTTAGTATTTTGTTTTTCGTGTTTGAAGAAACACATTAGGATATAGAATAAAGTTAAAGGCAATAATAGTAAAACGACATGCAAATGGAAATGAAGACGATATTTATGTTACTAAATGATGCAGCATAGTTTTTTATATTATCATTATTTTTGCATTCGACTGATGGCAAGTCATTATATTTTGGCATATAAAGTGTGATTGATTTACGATTTTTAGCTATACCACTTGTTGTCTTCAGTTCTGCCGTATTATAGAATTTTTGCCATTCTGTGATTAAAGCAGGTGACCATTCGATATTCATGAGCCATTGGACAAATTTTTTGTGATTATCAGAATTATGGATGTCAGTATCATTCATTCTAAAAAAACAGAAGTAGCCAGTTTAAAATGAAAATTGTTCTTCTATATTATATGAAAGGATAAAGCCAAATTCATGAGAATCTGAGATTCTAGTCAATTAACTTCATAATTCGAAGAACACTATAAAAAGCTGTTAGTCCCATCTATTTGAGATTAAAATATGAAACACGATGTAGCTATTGTTGTTAATCACATGAAAATTGTTTGATTTGATCTATTTTGTGAGATATTTTTTCATTATTGTTTACTTCATCCTTTAGAATTGTAATAAGAAAGTAGTTCATATATTATAATGAGATGTTAGGGATATACAGTCTTTAATTGTATATTAATAATATTTATCAAGGTTTATGATAGTCTGTAGTTGGTGTCTGTCACGAGCTGTGTGAATGATTAGATGGAAAGAGAAGGGGAACGAGAGGGATCGCGTTCACTTGGCCGACAATCACTTGGCCGACACAGCATTTCGCCGACAAATCATTTGGCCGACATATACACTTCGCCGATAACTCATTTGGCCGACAAATATTTGAAGTCCAAAAAAATGAAATTTCTTGAAAATATTGCGTCAGAAAATCTTTTTAGGGTGTGAGTGTGGGTGTGGGTGTGAATGACAGTAGGTGAACAGAGGACCCACACCCAACTATCGATGTTCTTCGGGACATTGCTCATAATCTTTCATTATAAATATTTGTGACTCTTAATAAAAAGATTTTCTGACGCAATATTTTGAAGAAATTTCAATTTTTTTGACTTCAAATATTTGTCGGCCAAATGAGTTGTCGGCGAAGTGTACATGTCAGCCAAACAATATGTCGGCGAAATGGTGTCGGCTAAGTGATTCGTCGGACAAGTAATTATCGGCCAAATGACCCGGACCCAACGAGAGTAGAAGGAAAGAAGGTAGATGTAGGCGTGAGTCAAAATTTATATCCCTATATATTTCAATATTCCTTTTAGATCGTGTTTCACAAAAACTTAGAAAACGATAAATATATACGTACGATCCATTGTACATTGATGACCATGATTCTTCATTTATTGCAGATAGGCAACTATAAATGTCATTCATTCTTGGATAATACGTAAATATTTGGGCGCACATTTCATTTTTCGTAGGTTCCCCACCCTTTCAAATAGAGAATCGACATAGCATTATCTTCTATTTACAATGAGTTTGTCTTCTATTTACCAGTGTAATTACATTTTTATCTGTTGTGGAATAGACGCAACGTGTAGCGAACTCATCTCCCTTATCAAATAATCAGAAAATTTTTTTAGTTTTTTGGCATCTAACTAGAGAAATTCTATATCATACCGGATATAATTGAATTCGTTTTGGAAGCTTATGTTCAAATTGATAATTAAAATCGAATGCTTCAGTATTAAACAAGTATTGAACAGCTGTGCCGTTGCGAATCAATTTAGTCCATACACTACGCCCTAAAGAATGATTTTGAAAATCAAAAACGAAAAGTTAGCAGGTATTCTACCTTGTAGATGTGTATGTGCGTACGCTGTGATAACAGTGATGCCATCTTTCGGAAAACTCTTAATATAGAAAGATAGTCAACGAGAATTGCTCATGTAAAGCATGAGTATGAAGTGTTCACAGTCATACTTGTGTTACTTTCGCAGGACAATAAGAATCAACATTGAAACGGTCCGTGCGCGGTGGAATGGCTAGACCTAGTGCATTTGATGTGCTTCCAAATGTTAAATAGCCCATATCGTGCAAACGTAATGTTGGTGAAACATAGAATCGTATCCCAGAATTGTCACGACGACCTTAAATAGTTTCAAAAGAAGGTTATCAATCATATTTTGAATCGCATCATTTGTGGCTTAATGCTAGTTAAGATTAATTTTTTTCATAAGGAAAAACTTTTAGAAAAATATAAAGATTTGTTTCTAGTTATATGTCTATGATAATACTGGAAAAATAAGTCAATTAACTTATTATATGTGTGCCTTTCGAAAGAGTTTTTCGAGTCGTTTGTATCCTACCTGAAATCAAAAGATCATTATTGTAATGCATTTCTAATACGTAGTACTTGACACTAAAATCGCCTCCAACTGGATAACCAGCTTCTTCCGGAAATTCCTCTATCTATAGACAATAATCGTATGTTTTACTAACAATATTCGAGATAAGTCTTTTAACTTACCAGGTCTCCACCGACTGCCCAAACTGTAATGTAAAACAACAATATTTTTTTTTACGATTTTGATATTATGTCACTTGCTGAACATTATACTTACTTGTTGCAATGTTTGTTCTACACAATTCGGAGCCGTCATTAAGAGCATTGTCATAATCGCATGCATTGTCCGGTAGATTGTTATCATCTGGAAATACCGTTGAAGGATCGCATTCGTAAACTAACAAATGATGAACAATGTCCCGATTTTTTTCTTCAATTAACATTTTATGCTAATGCAAATAGTAAACATCGATAAATATCTTTTATTGAAAGTATTAATGCATTCTTACTGCGATAGCGTGTCGTTTTTCTTTAAATACTGGTGCTTTGAATACCTTGCAGTGATAGGTCGTATCACTAGCTGGTACAAGGAACTAGAAAACGAAAAATAGCATTATATATATATATATATATATATATATATGTATATATTTGCACGACTTACATTATTAAACTTAAATTCATATGTTTCCAAGCCATAGAATTTTGATTCATCCGGTGGATTTGCGTAGCCTAATAACGGTAATGTACGACTTCCTCTTCTTTTTTCGTGGTAACTTATATCTGGATTGGGGTCTTCCAGACCGTAAGCATAGATTAAAGTGCTAGTGCCAAACTACAAAAGAACATAATAATCATGTCAAACAATTTCCTATATATGTATATTGGTAACTGACTTTGATTGGAACATCCATTGAATCACACGTTTCAAGTTTTCGTTTGAATTGAAGTGCAGTCCAACCATTTTCTTCTTTTCCATTTAAAGCAAACCAATCTGTCGTTGTATTATCAATTATAGGCGTAGTAAACCCAAAAGCAAAACGATCCTATACCAAATGAAAAGCTCATCCGAAGTCCGACAAATGGTACAAATGATGTTGACTCTTACTTGAAAATACATCTTTCCATCTGCAATCCATCCAACGCCAATGTCTGCACTTTTCATTCCTCCCGCTAATAAATTTAAAAAGACCTTTTTATAGAAAAAACTTTTCTAACATTCGTTTCCTTGCCTGGGCTTATTCCAAGTGCAATCCAGCCGAGTGTTTGTACATGTAATTCAAAGACGATTTCTTCGTCATTGGCTGTCCAATGCAAATCAATCATACCAGACTGCAATTCAATTGCCGATTCATATTCCGTGAAGGTCTTGATTGGACTTGATAAACACTGTATTTTGTCAACTACCCAGTATAGAAATAATATTATGTAAAAACTCTATACAAGAACAAGACAAGAAAATAAAAGAAAATAAAAATATGTAAAAATGATAGTCGTTACATACATTGGTAAAACGCATGATGTTTAGTATCAGGTAGCGTTGCTGAAATACATTTTTTTAAAATGTTTCTTATCAGAATAAGGAACCTTTATATACTTGCTCTCAATGAATAGAATATCTGTGAATTTGAATGATATTGATCAACGAGTTGTTTTTGTGATACTTTCTACAAAGAAAAAATAAGTAAAATGTAGTCATTCGTCTTAAAATAATTTATATCACAATAAAATAATTTATATCAGAATAAAATAATTTATATCACAATAAAATAATTTATATCACAATAAAATAAGATGAGAATGAAACATTACAAGTGCTACTTAAAACAAAAACGTCTGACAAACAAAAGATACCGATAAGGCCCTATGATTCTTGACCAAACTACTTCTGTATCTCTCAATCTTACTTAATAATAAATCATATTGAACGAAACTTGAAAACTCATTATCATTCTGTTGTTGTCTTACTTAGAGTTCTGTGAAGATAACATCGAATTTATTTGACGACTGAATCTCTAATCATATGACTCTCACGAACGCAAGGCCTCATTACACAACGCGGCTACACAATCATCAGTCGTCAGCTATAGTTTTTCTCTTAAATAACTAATATCTCTCAAAGAATTGATTACGTTCATTCGCTTTCTTTCAAGACCTAAAATACAGTTGAAAGACTCTTTGCCAAGATAAGCCGATGGAGTGTTTTTCTCTAGATAAATCTCGATTTGTCTCTTCAAATAGGAATTTCTTGTTGGAAAAATGTTGAAAAACTTCTCAACTAATCAATTAATCGATTCTTTATTTATTTATTTTGTTTTTTATCAGCAATTATCGATCCGTCTTCTTCAATGTTCCTGAAATAATATTCTCAAAATTAAAGTATTTACATTCGAATAGACAAAGAATTTCATAGTCAATGCTATTAAGAACTTTTCAGAGCTAATACTACTATCGATCGGGTATGAAACGCATACAAATAGCATTTGACTTTATTCTGTTCTGTATTCAGGCTGCTCATATTTTGAAAAGTCAGACATGCTTTAACAAATAGTTACTATTCTACAAATATATATGCAGAATAATATTATTAACCAAAAGAATTACTATGTCGATTCGAGTAAGAAAAATTTGAAATTTAGCTTGGCTTTAACAACGAAAATAAGCAGAGCTTTGAGAAAGTACTTATTATCATGTTATTCGATTTTTAATTCAGAGTTTTTTTTTCCGATGTTACTTGTCAAAATACGTAACAACTTTTGGGTGCTAAATAATTTTATTAAAAATTTTCCGAAATGTTTCATATTTCAGTGAAAATACCATTAACATTTTTCTGACAAACGATTGCTGAATGTAACAGACGAGAATAATATGAAAATAGAAGCACCTTCTACATCCCCAATCGATCGGGATACGCATGTGACAATGTTTCAACTTAAGATAACTTCCATGAAAACAATCGTATCTTTTCCAAATAACGAAAAAATATGATATAATTTCGATTTTAAATTCATTTATATGAAACTAGGGAGAGTCCGTGAGTACTGCACGGCAGCTTTTTTTTCGTTAATGTGCAACCTGAAACCTTTAGCCTTTCACGCGGTAACAGACACACAGATACTCGACATTATGTACATAGAAGCCCTACGGCGTGATATTCTTATATCGCTAATAGCCCATGTAGCCTTACGGCATTATAGCCTTATATTTCTTGTAGCTCTTGTAGCTCTTGTAGCCTTATCTGCTTATAGCTTTACCCCTTATAGCCTTATTCCCTTATTCTGTTACTTCATTATAGTCTTACCCCTTTATAGCCTTATCACCTTACAGACTTACCCCTTTATAGTCTTCCCCCCTTATAGCCCTATCCTCTTACTGCATTACTTACTTATAACCTAACCTCTTTATAGCCTTACACTCTTATTGATTTACTCCTTTATAGCATTATCCCTTTAAAGCCTTAACCTTATAGCGTTCTCCCTTATAGTCTTTCCCCTTATAGTCTCACCTCTTCATAGCCTTGCCCACTTATAGTCTTCCCCATTATAGTCTTTCATTCTTATATCCATATCCCTTTATAGCCTTACTCCCTAATAACTCTACTTCTTATAGCCTTTTTTGATCTTTAACCTTTAACCTTAAATCTTTGACCTGACATAGACAGACACGCAGCTACATACTGAACATTATATATATGTTACGGTCAAAATTGGAATCTGGTCAAATTCTAAATTTGTCTAGTCAAAATTAGAATTCCAATTTTGTCTGGACAAAATTAGAATTTTATTTTGATGAATTATAAAACTAAGCAAAAATTAATACCAAAAACACAAATGAGGTCAAGAATGGTGATGAGAGTCAGGATGAAGGTTTTAAGTAAGATCGCCGCGAGTAGCCTTGATGAGAGTGAAAAATTTCTTAGTAAGGATGAATTTTTGAGTAAGACTAACATTTTACGCAATTATTCACTCTAATTTCACTCGCAACCTCGGAATATAGACCCAGACCTCTTCATTCTTACTCAGACCTGTCTCTCGTCTTCACCATCATTTTTGATTCCACTCGTATTCGTAGTGTTGCTTTTTTTCTCAGTTTTACAGTTCATGAAAACAAAATTCTGATTTTGTCTGGTCAAAATTAGAATTCCAATTTTGTCTGGACAAATTTAGAATTTGACCGAATTCCAATTTTGACCGTAACATATATATATATATATATATATACTGAACATTATATATATATATATATATGTATATAAGGTCGTAGCCAGTCATTACGGAATCTCACTTTTTAATCTTCTATAATTTGTTTCTCCGTAGTAATAGAAGCGAACGCTTTGAATTTTCTACCGAAAGTAGAGCTTCTCCTAAATTAATATATCTATATTTTTCTCTTCTTTTCGTTGAAGCTTGTTAAAGTTATAGAAAAAATACCAACCGTTAAGGAATTTCAAAAAATGGAAATTTTTTTCAGAGACATTTAGAATGGCGCATTTTGCTACGAAAGGAGACAACGTAAATAAAAACACTCAATATGAAAATTGTGTGATCGTCTTCACACTTTCAAAATATGAGTCTATTTTCAGATAAAAATGATAGCGCTTTTTAAAGATTTACCAACATTGCTCGTTACGGAATTTCATTCGTTACGGAATTTCGTCCTTTTTCTTCGAACATTTTAACGTAAAGGTCTTAAAGCTTAAAACTCCAATATACTATAAAGTATTAATATATTTGGTAACATTCGGATCTGCTGTTGGTTGTATCATACGTTTTGCTTATCAATATCAATACTTCTTTTTCCGAAGTATATGTAGTTTCACTTCATATGAAGGAAGGAGTTGAGGCTTCACTTCTCCTCTTTCGACGAAATCGGTACCAAATAACACCAGCACATTCATGAGGACACTCTTCTGAAATTTTCTCTTGGTTCTAAACTTTGAAATCCGAATTCATAATTTTTTGCCCGTGAGGTACCCCAGATTCATCCTATGAAGGTTCGTATCGAAAGTCATCATATCTTTCACAGTATTTCTCTCAGCTTCAATAAAAATAGTATATTTGTGATCAGTGCGATGAATTCTATCGGGTCAAATACAAAAATTCCAAATTGAGGACCGAAAATTTTTTTCGATCCTTGGAGGGTCTCCAGGTACAAGAAAATTCGAACTCGAATTTCAAAGCTCTGACTTGAGAAAAAAATCCACAAAAGAGTTGCCATAAATATACAAGTGTTATTCGGTTCTGTTTTCTTAAAATGAAAAGTAGTCAAACCGCCGCGCCTTTCTCTATGAAACGATGCTCCTCTGATGAAATTTCGTAACGGAGGATTTTTCAAAGAAATTTACGAAAGCTAAATTAAAGTTTATTGAGAATGGGTTCAGTTGATAGCTCTACAAAATGTACATATAACTAATAGAATGCTTCAAAGTCAGTCCTCAATACGTAAGAAAAAAACTCAAAATAAGCATCTTTCGTTACGGAATTTCATGAAAAATATACACTGTCTTTGAAATAGAATATCTTATTTCTAAGCTATCGGGTTGTTTTCTATTGGTGATATTTTGAAAGTATCAACCGTTAGCTGTAGATCGATATCAGATTAATAAACAAATACTTGTTCAGCTAGCTTTTATTAACACCTTGTCCACAACAAGTAAATATATCTTTTTTTTTTGAAGTTTCATTGTATGAACAAACTTCATCATGTAACATTAAGTATTGAAGTGTCAAGTAGATATCAATATCTGTTTCATGAACTAATAACTACCCTCTATCAAATAAAATGCTTAGTTTTCTAAACTTTTGATTTCGAACCTTCGCAAGCGAAGGTGAAGATTAGCTGGCCATTCTCATATCTGATTCACATAGAGATTACAATCAAAACTATTGTGTAGTATGTTCAGATAGAATGATTTTAGTTAGAAACGTCTTTACTTCTGACTGCGTTGAAATTTCTAAGTTCGATCATTTTTTATCAGTATTTTAGAATTTAGAATGGATTTCAAATCGTGATATTGAAAAAGATCGGTAACTATTCAGTTTATGATAATGTGAATTAGTATTCGATAAACGTTACACTGTACGTCTATCAAATGCTTTTAGATGTCTATCGTTAATTTTCTCCTTGATCAGAAAAGTCAATAAGGTTTCTAGCGCGTTAAGACTA